AAGCATTTTTTCTAACACTTTTAAATACAAGCAGCATTTTGTTGTAAACCATCATGTGTGGAAATATATCCTTTGTGCTATGTGACTACCTGATTAGATATTTCTGTTAACTAGCAGTTCAACAGGCCTACTAACAAAGTATGCTAACAATAAAGACATTACAGAATATTTATTTATAAACTCCATTTTAATACTAGAATATTAAAATACAGTTTAACTACTCCTTGTATAATTCCTACAGTGGTTTCAACCTTTATGTTCAATGACACTGCATGACCATAACCACAGTCATTTTAAGACAGTCATGGCACTCAGAAGATTATGACCTAAAAAAACAAATGTTTGCAAGACAGCCCTGTGATATTTCCCGTGGTATTCAGACCACAGCGTTTTGTCTCTTCCTGTTCAACATATCTTAAACACCTTTATGCCCCTCTCACTATTAAACTAAAGCAGAGCCTCACTAAATCTCAATACAAAAAATAGTCTTCATTATTTATCAGTCTTCACTAACTCCTCCTCCATTACCTACCTACCAATCACAATGGTTTGCTCTCAGATAAAGTCAAAGCAGCTGTGGTGGGAGACGGAAAGATAGCTAGAAAGTGAGTAAGTATTAGCAGTTACTGCACATTTTTGTATTAATTTTTATTAGAAAAAGTGTTTTTTTGTTAAAGGTGGTTGTAAAGATTTACATACACCAACTGTACAGAACTCCACAAGCAGATAAATATGATAGCTTTCACTTTGTGCTGGTGTTCCTGTTATTTTGTGAGTCTATCTCGTAGCAGCGTACAAAACATTTGGCTCCAGCTCCCTCTGCGGTGCAGGCCTTCTCATTTTTGTTCTGGTATGGAAACTCAGTGCTGCATAGTTCATGGCATCAGACTCTGCATTCTGTAATGGAAAATGTTTAAAGTCACTAATCTCAAAGGATTAAATGTTAACCTGTTGACATCCACCAGGTCACAGGCAGTCCATCAATGGATAGAGCTGTGGTTAGTATAAGATTGACATCCAACTGCTATTTATTGAAATT